TAAGTAAATAAAATTTAAAAATAAACAAACGGCCTCAGGACTGCATAAAAAAATTAAATAGCAATGGTTTGTATCCATTTACAACTAAAAACATTAAAAATAAATAAATAAAATGTTCAATTTGGATGTTATCAAACTCTGGAGCAAACCACATTAGACTTGTCCTTAGTTTTCAACTCTTTGAAACACTGTCAGATGCTCATTTTGAAATTATTAAAATATTTTGCTACCCCTTTTTTGGGGGRGTCCTGGGGATTGAACTCGGGTCATTCAACACTGAGCCACATCCCCAGCCCAGTTTTGTGTTGTATTAGAGACAGGGTCTCACTGAGTTGCTTAGTGCCTCACCATTGCTGAAGCTGACTTTGAATTCACCATCCTCCTGTCTCAGCCTCCCCAAACCGCTGGGGTTACAGGTATGAACCACCATGCTCAGCTATGTTTTGCTACTTTTTTTTTTTTAATATTTATATTTTAGTTGTAATTGGACACAATATCTTTATTTTATTTATTTTTTGTGGTGCTGAGGATCAAACCCAGGGCCTCACACATGCTAGGTGAGTGCTTTACTGCTGAGCCACAATCCCAGCCCCTGTTTTTCTACTTTTGTGCTGGTTTAAATTCTGGTGTCGTGGGCTGGGCATATGGCTCAAGCGGTAGCATGCTCGCCTGGCATGTATGCCGCCCGGTTTTGATCCTCAGCACCACATACAAACAAAGATGTTGTGTCCACTGAAAACTAAAAAATAAATATTAAAATTCTCTCTTTAAAATAAATAAATAAATTCTGGTGTTGTGACTTTAGGCAGTTTTTTTTTTTTTTTAAGCTTTTCTGAGGTTAGTTTTTTCATCTGTAATTTGGGTATAATTACTTCTCACAGGGTGATTTTTGAAAACCAAATGAGCCAGGCATGATCGTGCCCCTATAATTCCATCAAATCTGGACATTGAGGCAGAAGGATTGCAAGTTCAAAGCCAGCCTCAGCAAATTAGCAAGGCCCAAACAATAACTTAAGCTGGGCGCAGTGGTGCATGCTGAGGAGGCTAAGGCCAGAGGATCATGAGTTCAAAGCCAGCGTCAGCAAAGGCAAGGCACTAAAGGACTCAGTGAGACCCTGTCTCTAAACAAAATAATAAAATATGGCTGGGGATGTGGCTTAGAGGTTGAGTGTTCCTGAGTTCAATCCCTGGTACCAAAACATATAAATAAATAAAATTTAAAAAAAAGGACTTGGAGTGTGGGTCAGTAGTTAAACACTCCTGGATTTAATACCCAGTACCAAAATAATAATAATAACAATAACAACAAAAATAACAAAAAATAGTAACAACAAGAACAATAATAATGATTTTCAAAAACCAATAACAGACCAGGCATGTTGATGCATGCCTGTAATCCCAGTGATTTAGGAAGCTAAGGCAGACAAATTTGAGACCAGTCTTAGTAAATTTAAACCCCCTCCCCCTTACTGTAAAAAAATAAAGGTCTGGGGTTGTGGTTCTGTGGTAGAGAGCTTGCCTGGCAGGTATGAGGTACTGGGTTGATTCTCAGCACTAAATAGCCTAGCCTTGTGCATGCTAGGCAAGTGCTCTATGACTGAGATATGAAATAAGGGTCCATTGACAACTAAAAATATATTAGAAAAAAATAATTAATAAAATAAACCTCTTTGAAATGAAGGAATGAGAAACAGTAAATACGATAGGTAATTAAAGAAGAAAGACACACTTGAATGGTACCTGATAGAATTCACCAACAAATAATTCAGTGGTGCGTAGAGGAGACTATTGGCTGGAGCACTAGCCATCACTTCCAAAGATTTCAAGGGAGTGGGAGAGCTGTTGTCTGCTGGGATATTAGATAATTCCATTTATTTTAATTTCTTTTAATATTTGAGATTGGGTCTTGTAGTGTTGTTCAACCTGGTCTTGAACTCATGGGCTTAAGTTAACCTTCCACCTCAGCTTCCTGTGTGGCTGGAACTATAGGCATATTCCACCACACCCAATTTTGGATATTATCTTAATGGTTACTCTCAGAACCCTCACATAACACTGACTTAGTTAGGGTTTTTGCATTTTACTTACAGTACAGCACTGTTCAATAGATAGAATATTCTGTGAAGATGAATGTGTTCTGTCTGCATTGTCTGATAGTAGTACTTACTAGGGCTGGGGCTATAGCTCAGTGGCAGAAACTTGCCTAGCATGTGTGAGGCACTGGGTTGGATCCTTAGCACTGCATAAAAATAAATAAAGGTATACTGTCCATACACAACTACCAAAAAAAAAAAAAAAAAGTATTCACTAACCATGAGGCTTTTGAACACTTGAAATGTGATTAGCATGACTGAGGAACTGAATTTCTTTCTTTTTTTTTGTACTGAGAATTGAACCCAAGGGCACTCTACCACTGAGCTACATTCCCAGTCCTTTTGTTAATTTTCAACTTTTTATTTTGAGACAATTTTTTATTTTGTTCAGTTGATAAGGCTGGCCACCTGCTTCAGCCTCCCATATTGTTTGGATTACAGGCATGAATCACTGCATCCGAACTGAATTTCTAGTTTCACTTAATTTTCATTAAATTGAATAGCCACATGCAGGGTATGGTGGCACTTGCCTATATAATTCCAAACTTAGGAGGCTGAGGCAGGAGGATTGCAAATTCAAAACCAGTCTGAGCAAATTAGCTAGCCCTAAGCAATTTAGTGAGACCCTGTCTCAAAATAAAAAATTTAAAAAATGGGTTAGGGTTGTGGCTTAGTGGTAAAGTGCCCCTTGGTTCAATTTGTGGTACCAAAATTAAAAAAACAACCAATTAATGAACAGAATGACCACATGTGGCTTGTTGCTAGTATTTTGGACAATGCAGTTACAGAAGGTTATAGCACTTGGGATTTATTATTATTATGATGATGATGATTTTTTAGAGAGAGAGAGAATTTTAATATTTATTTTTTAGTTTTTGGCAGACACAACATCTTTGTTTGTATGTGGTGCTGAGGATTGAACCCCTGCCGCACACATGCCAGGCAAGCGCGCTACTGCTTGAGCCACAACCCCAGCCCGGGATTTATTTTTAAAATATGATTTTTTGTGGCATAATTTCTTATTCTCAAATTAATGATAATGAGTATTTCCTATCATTGAGTTCTATTTAAGGGCATAGCCTAATATCTCAAAAGCTGCAATAGTCAATTGACCAGTGAGCTATTTGATTGTGATAAAGTTATCTGTGTACAGATCACCAAAAGTTTTTGTTTTTGTTTTTGGTAGCATGTATTGGATCCATGGACACTTTTACCACTGAGCTACATGCTCAGTCCTTTTTTGTTTTTAATTGTTTGAGAAATGGTTTTGTTAAATTGTGAAGGTCTTGCTAAGATGCTAAAGCTGGCCTGAAGCAATCCTAGTGCCTCAGCCTCCCTAGTGGCTGGGATTATAGGTGTGCAGCACCACGCCCAGTTGTTTGTTTATTTTTTGAGACAAGGTCTCACCAAGTTCCTGAGTCTGGCCTCAAACTTGTGATCCATTAGCCTCAGCTTCTTGAGTAGTAGGGATTATAGGCGTTTAACACCTTGACCAACTAGTTCTTTCTTTTTGTTTTGTTTTTGCAGTATTGGCAACCTAACCTAGAGCCTTGCATATGTTAGGAAAGCAGTGTACCACGGAGCTACATCTCCAGACCTAGAAAGTGACTTACTTATGTAGGCGAATTCCCAATATCATTATGTTGTTTTCTCTCCAAATAACATGAGACAGCTTTTTTGTTGTTGTTTGTAAGGTATTGGGGATTGAACCCAGGGGTACTTAACCACAGGGCTACAGATCCAGCCTATTTTATTTTATTTTTTTTTAATACAGGGTCTCACTAAGTTGCTTAGGGCTTCACTGAGTTGCTGAGGTTGGCTTCGAATTTTCAGTCCTTCTGCCTCAGCCTCCTGAGTCATTGGGATTACAGGCGTGTGCTACTGTGCCTGGCTGAGGCTGCCTTTTAAACTTTAAATTGCATGTATTTATCAAGATTGCTTTTTTAAATTATTTTTTAATTCTAATTAGTTATGAAGACTGCTTTTTTGCTTTATATATATACATATGTGGAAATACAAAGGATAAGACATTACTTGGTATATTGATGTGGGAATGTAAATAGCTTTTTTTCTCTTGGTAGTAAGAATTGAATCTAGGGATGTTGTACCTCTGAGCTACATACCCAGCCCTTTTTTATTTTGAGATAGGGTCTTGCTAAGTTGTTTATTAGGGTCTTGCTAAATTGCTGCAACTGGCCTGGAACTTGTGATTCTCCTGTCTCAGCCTCCCAAGTCTTTGGGACAGGTGGGCATACCACCACACCTGGCTCAAATAGCTCTTTTTAAATTAAAATACATATATGTATGTGCGTGTGTGTATATGTGTATATGGAGAGAGATATAGATACAGCTTTTGTGATGCTGGGAATCAAACCCAGGGCCTTGCTTATGCTAAGTAAGTACTCTACCTCTGAGCTGCATCCTCAGTCTAAAACAGTAAATTCTATATTAGCAAAATAAGATAATTTCTTCTTTTCTTTCTTTTTTCTTTTTTTGGTCATGTTGGGTATCTAACCTAAGACCTCTAACCCAGAGCCTAGTGCTTGCTAGGCAAGTGCTCTACCACTGAGCTATACTCTCAGCCCAGATAATTATTTTTTATATTTCTTCCTAAAAATTCTTCCGGAGGATAATGGTAGTCACTTTGTCTAGATAAGTTTGTGTGGTTTTATTCTGATGTTTAATTTTATAGACTAATGTTTTCTTATATTTACCATGGCATGAACATTAAATATAAAGCCTTTGGGATCTAGAGGGACATGAATCAGTTAAATTTAACAAACATTACTAAAATTGTTCTTTTAGGTTTTTGAATTAGACTGTAATGCTCAATTAAGCATTCTTGGAAAATTCATAGAAGGGATCCAATAATCTTAATTTTCCACCACCCTTTTAATCTCATTTTAGCTGCACTAGGTGTTCAGCAGCCTTCACTTCTTGGAGCGTCTCCTACCATTTATACACAGCAAACTGCATTGGCAGCAGCAGGCCTTACCACACAAACGCCAGCAAACTATCAGATAACGCAAACTGCAGCATTGCAGCAACAAGCCGCGGCTGCAGCAGCTGCATTGCAACAGGTGAATTTCTAATAGGTTTTAATATGGAATATTGAAGACTGTGATATCTGAGTAGCTYGGATTGCTATCTCCATTTTTTATAAAAATGAGGAATTGTGGCTCTTGTTATGATTTTTTTTTCTGACAATATTATACTGTATATGCCTAACACGTATAGGGGGAAGTATAGTCATATAGTGAAAATTCTTTAGTTTTTAAATTGGAGATTTCTCATACCTCAATTATTTGAAAAAAATTTAGCATTTGATGGATTCCAGAGTATAAGTAATAATAATTTTATGTATTTTAGATGTTTATTCTAGAAAATTTCAAGGTAATTTTGGTTGTGTATTTCTGTGTATATATATCGCCTTTTTGAGAATAGTATGTTGATAGCCATATTTTTCTTTGAATAATCTTTTTTTTTTAATTTTTCAGCAATATTCACAACCTCAACAGGCCTTGTATAGTGTGCAGCAACAGGTTAGTTTTTATTTTCCATGTTAAGAACTGATTTTAAAAAAGCCATGTGTTCCAAAATTCAATTGACACAGATTTGTATTTATATTTCTTTTAGCTATCATAATATATGACTTGAATTCTTTGGTGGGAGTAGGGGATATGGAGTAGGAAAAAAGAGAAGGTCCTAAAAACCCAAATCTTCAACTAGTAGCCAGTCTTCTGAGACAGTATGTTGAGGATAATCTGGAATGAACCACTCTGATTCTTTGGACTATGCTCCTGTCTGGACTCGAACCTCTGTGCTACTCTGCTGAATTAGATCACTTGGGAAAAGTAAAAGCTCTTTTTCCTACTTGAAGCCTAATCTTTTCGTGGGTCACTAGCTTCCAACCTTTATTTTTTAGGTAGTAGAATTTATTGAGTTTTTGTTTCCTTCCCTCTAATGAAATGATGAATGAAACCCAAGATACAAAATATTTAAATAAAACTGTTGAAATTGGGAGGAAGCCTCCCCTTATAGTTCATAACCCTATTCCTGGGCATTTTAGAACAATATGAAAATTCTTAGACTTAAAACATGTTTCTTTGGCCCCTTAAACTCATCCTCTAATCATTTCTCTTAAGGTCTTACCTCTGGGAGCTAGGAAGTGGTAAGAAAATACACGATTATTAAGGAAGGAAAGTTTGCCCTGCTGAAATCTAGATAAGTTTTAGACTAAGTACCCATTCTCATCTTGTCCATAGTTCGGAGGTAGTGTTCAGTCCTCATGAGTATTATTGTTAAAAAAGTTTTAGGAACAGGGGTGTAGCTCAGTGGTAGAGCATTTGTGTAGCTTGAGGTTCCCTAGCATGCCTCCCACTCAAAGGAAAAAAAAAAAATTTCAGGACATACAGCTCTCAGAAGAGATGGTATACAAAAGAGGATCCAAAAATTGGATCCAAGAACAATATTGAACCAGGTGTGGTGTTGTATACCTGTAATCCCAGCTACTTGGGAAGCTTAAACCAGAGGATCACAAGTTTGAGGCCAGCCTCAACAATATAGTGAAGTCCTATCTCAAAATATAAAGGATTGGGCTGGGTGTGGTGGCACATACCCGTAATGCCAGTGGCTCAGGAGGTTGAGGCAGGAGGATTGCAAGTTCAAAGCCAGCCTCAGAAACTTAGTGGGGCACTTTACAACTTAGCAAGACCCTGTCTCTAAATAACTCAGTGGTTGAGCATCCCTGGGTTCAATCCTCAGTACCAAAAATAAGTAAATAATAAAGGGCTAGGGGTGTTGCTCAGTGGTAGAACACTTGCATTGCATGGGTGAGATCCTGGAGTTTAATCCACAGTACTGCCAAAAAAAAAGACAGTGTGTAGGAATATTAGGACTTCTCAGTCCATAAGCTCTTGTCACCAGATCCATAGTCTATTTTTATCTTTGGCTTAAGCCCTCTGGGCCTTCAAAAGCATTTCATTTTCTCTGAAGATTACAGTATTTCACTAGTACTTTAAACTTCTGAAAATGGACAAGAGACTAATCTCACAATTACCTTGTTTTTAAATGCTCTGAGAGGGGCGTTGTGGGGTATGTGGCTCTATGGGTGGTAGAGCACTTTCCTAGAGTGCACTGAGGCCCAGAGTTCAATCCCGGCACCACATAGAAAACTTATCATAAATTAAAAATACCCGTAGACTTATTAAGTTATGAAACACTATTAAAGATTTTATGAGCTGGGTGTGGTGGCACCTGCTGTAATCCCAGCAGTTCGGGAGGCTGAGGCAGGAGGATCACGAGTTCAAAGCCAGCATGTGAGATGCTAAGCAACTCAGTGAGACCCTGTCTCTAAATAAAATACAAAAAAGGGCTGGGGATGTGGCTCAGTGGTTGAGTGCGACTGAGTTCAATCCCTGGTCCTACCCCCACAAGAAAAAAAAATTATAACAAGGTACGTTGAACCACATAAAGATGGCTGTACTCAGCTACTCTTACAGAAAAAAAAATAGTATTTTAATAAGGTTGAAACTCTTAATAATTGGTTATTGCAGGTAATCTGAGTAGTTTGAATTAGAACCTCATACAGGTTCTATTATCCTCACATATGTTGTTTTTATTCCAGAATTTATAAGTTTTCCTCCTCGCTTAGTTCCTTTTCCTTTCTGGTAATGGTATATTTTTCTATTATCAGAGAAACCATATGTCAGAGTGTATGGTTCTTCATGGTATGCATGTCTATGGCAAATCCAACCATTAGGAGTGCTTCTCATATTGCAGGAAATTTATATATGAATTGGATGGCCAATTTTATTCTTTGGTACAATTACTAAATTGATGATATTGAATCATTTCTGTAGCATGGTAATTAGCATATTGTGGAACTAGAAATCTTTAGGGAATTGTGGACTTTTTAGAAAAATTTTTATGGTGTTATTTCTATGAAATAACAACAGAAATCATTTTCTTTATTAAATATAGCTGTATGTGTGACTTCTTAATACTAGGTATGCAGTTAGAAATAGTTGTAGTTAGACTTATGCTAATTATGTGTTACCTTTCACATTTTAAAAAAAATAATATTTAAAAGTAATTTTTCCATTTATAAAACATCTATGAAACAAATTGATCATTCCTTTTCTTTTATATGTTTTTTGTTTTGTTTTTTGTTTTTTTCCTATTTTCAGTTACAGCAACCCCAGCAGACCCTTTTAACACAGGTTAGTTTGGCATTACTTTATTTCTTTTGATTATCTGAATAAAGAGTAGACTAATGTTTTATTTCTATTCTAGTTTTTATTTCAGAGTTTAAAGGTATTTGTTGTATTCACATAATAATTTAGCAGTATATTGCTAAATAAAGGTGAAAAAATTTGTTATTGTGTTTTGATTGCAAACCCAACTGTTGTATAGCTTGAATAAATAAGAATTTTTATTTTAAATTTAATACTGATTTTTTGCTTTTATATTTTCTTTATAGCTAAAGTTTTGGAAATTTTTGGATGTTTAATTTTTAACTTGACCTTAGTAGGTAAAGTCATCATGTTATCAGTTTGATTTTTGAGCAACATTAAAATGTTTTGGAACTTTTGGGCCTGATGGTATAGTTCTGGTAGAGTGCATGTTTAGCATGTGTGAGGCCCTGGATTTAATTCATACCTAGCGCAAAAAATAAAAATAAAGTTTTGAATTTTTAATATGTACTGCTATCTTAGAGCTTGTTACAAACCATTTAGTTTCTGTCATATAATTTTTTTTTCTTACAACCCTTTAAAAGGTGTTAAAAACATTCCTTGCTTATTAACTAAGGCGTTGGGCTGTATTTGGCCAATGGACCATGGTTCACTGGTATTTTTGTACAGTAAATATTAAGCAGTTGTTAAAAATGGAACAGAATCCCCATGCTAGGGATTGAACCCAGGGCCTTGTACATGCTGTGTACCCCCCCCCCCCTTACCACTGAGGTCCACACTCATCCCTAGAACTTAAGTATGAATGTAAAATTATATCTCAGATATGGGAGGTAGAGGAAAAAGTATGGTGCAATATGCATTGTATGTTTCCATTTACTTAAGAGGGAAGAGGAGGATATCATTTATCAGTGTGTGCATTATCTCCAAAAGGCCCTTGATAGTAAAAGGTGATGTGATTGCTTCATGCATAGGAAACTGGGTGGCTGAGGAACAAGGATAGGAGAGAAGCTTTTCACTGTGTAACTTTTTGTATCTTTTTAGTCTTTTTTAAAAGTAAAGGATTAAAAGTATTTTTTAAAAGAAAAATGCAGTACATTTAAGAAATCAATTAATCTGTTCTTATTAAAGAACTAAAATCCAGTAATACCGATCTTACTTTCAATTCCCAACATGAGAATTTCAAAATTAAATAGAATAGCTGTAGAAGTTTCTTTCCTTACCATAACGTCTCCCAATGTGTGCCCATAAAGTATAACTATCTTAAGATGTTAAAGAAAATTTTTGAGGATTTTTTCCCCCCACTATTGGGGATTGAACCTGGGGTACTCTACTACTGAGCTACATCCCCTTTTATTTCTGAGGATTGAGCCCCTGAGTGCTTTACCACTGACTTAAATTCCCCTGACCTTTTGTTATTTATTTATTTATTTATTTTTAAACATCAAATTGTATACTTTATTTTTATGTGGTGCAGAGGATCAAACCCAGTGCCTCACACATGCCAGGCTAGTGCTCTGCCACTGAGCTATAATACCAGTCCCTTTTATTTTTATTTTGAGACAGGGTCTCACTAAGTTGCTTTTGGCTTCCCTAGGTTGCTGAGGTTGGCTCTTGAATTTATGATCTTCCTGCCTTAAGCTTTCAAATTGCTGGGATTATAGGCATGCACCACCATACCTGCCTTTTTATTTTGAAACAGGTATTTGATACACTGTCCACAATAGTTGTGAACTTGTGATCTTCCTGCCTCAACTTCCCAAATACTGGTGCACCACCAGACATAGTGTTTTTTTTGTTGTTGTTGTTTTTTGAAGTGGTGTCTTTGCCATGTTGCCCAGTTTCATATAAAACTTACGGATACAAGTATTCCTCCTGCCTCAGCCTCCAAGTAGCTTGGACTACAGGAAGAAATTTATTTATTTTTGGTACTAGTGATTAAACCCAGGGCACATAACCATTGAGCCACATTCCAAGCCATTTTTGTTTTTTATTTTGAGACAGGATCTCACTAAGTTGCTGAGGCTGGGCTCAAACTTGCCTAAGTTGATGAAATACTGAGTTCCTTGACTGAATTTTGGAGTTTCCTAAACCTTTAGTATGCTGATAAGGATTTTGATTTTTTTGTTTGTTTGTTTTTTGGAGGGGGGGTGCTGGAATTGAATCCAGGGGTGCTTTACTACTAAGCTACATTTTCGGTTTTTTTATTTTGAAAAATGGTTTAAGTTGCTGAGGCTGGCCTCTAACTTGTGATCCTCCTGCCTCAGCATCCCAAATAGTAAGGATTATACAGGCATCTGACATTACACCCAGCTTTTTTGTTTGTTTTTTTGGTGGTGGTACTGGTGCTTGAACGCAGGTTCTTGCATAGACTGGGCAAGTTCTCTTGCACTGAGCTACATCCCCAGTCTTTTCTGGACTTTGAATTTCTAAAAGGGAGTTAAAATAATGTTTTTACAATTCATTGCACGATGATTCTTTTGCCTTGGAGCAACCCTGAAACTTTTTGAGGAAAGTTATGGATGAAATAAGTTAAATATTATTTTATAGATTTTCAGACTTAGTTCTCTCAAGGTGTACATACATGTATTTTATAACTTCATATAATTTTTAACATTTTGAGCTAAAATTGTCATTTTTAATTTCCAGGTAATTTCAAGTCATTATCTTAATATGATGTTGATTTTCTTCAATAGCCAGCTGTTGCGCTGCCTACAAGCCTTAGCCTGTCTACTCCTCAGCCTGCAGCACAGATAACTGTATCTTATCCAACACCACGGTCCAGTCAGCAACAAACCCAACCTCAGAAACAACGTGTTTTCACAGGAGTGGTTACAAAGCTACACGATACATTTGGATTTGTGGATGAAGATGTATTCTTTCAGCTTAGGTAAACTTCATTAGGTGTTGGGATGACTTATTGAATTCTGTATAAAGTACTCGTGATAAGATAAGCTAAAATTTTCTATTTTAATCATTCAGTTTGTATTATGGTCCTGTCTGTGATGTGTTTGGGTGGAAAAATGTAGTTAAGTATATGTTTTGATTATTGAACACCAACTAATTGTGAATTCTTTTTTTTAGTTGTAGATGGACACGATACTCTATTTATTTATTTATTTTTTAATGTGGGCTGGGGATCAAACCCAGTGCCTCACACATGCTAGGCATGCAGTGTACCACTGAGCCACAACCCCGGTTCTAATTGTGGATTCTTTATAAATATTTTCTTAGAACTAGGTGGCATTTCTAACTCTTCATGGGCAGACTTTGAGATTGGGGGTTGAGTAATTATGACTTTTAAATCCTAATATTCTGGTTTGCCATGCTGATGATATAGACTAAGAATTTTTTTTTTTTTAATTGAAAAGTTAGTGAACAGGATCAAATGGTTGATGGACAAACATTGACAATAGTACTTTGGTTCCTTTATGGTAGTTGTAGGCAATATGAATTTTCTTAGATATATCAAGAATATTTCTAATGAACTTCCTTAGAATGGTCACATTTGGGACTCAGTTGCTGTAGAAGATTTTTGTATAAAAGGGATTCCCATTTTTTTGTCTTCTTTCCAAAACCTGAAGCAAATTTTACTTTGGGGCTCTAAAAGTTAGTGCCATAAGCAGAAGGGCATAACTTAGGAGATTATGAGGTGGTAAATTATTTCTTGTACTTCAAAACTTCTGTTTATATATAGAGGGTGAAACGTTCAGTTCTGAAATGAGTCTACAGATATATCTACTTTTGTAAGAGCTCTCCAGTCTTCCATTTCTGGTATAGTGTGTTTTATTTATTTATTTATTTATTTATTTATTTATTTATTTATTTATTTATTTATTTATTTATTTATTCATAGTTATAGATGGACACAATACCTTTATATTTATGTGGTGCTGAGGATCGAACCTGATGCCTCAATTGTGCTAGGCAAATGCTCTACCACTGAGCTACAACCCAGCCATATAGTGTATTTTGTGTGTGTCTGTGTGTGTGTGTGTATGTGTGTGTGTGTGTGTGTGTGTGTGGCTGGGGATTGAACCCAGGGCCTTTTGCATGTGAGGCAAGTACTCTACCAACTGAGCTATATCCCCAGCCCCATAAAGTGTAGTTTTAAATGCTAAGTGTGTAAATTTGAGGCGGGGGGCAATGTCTTTTTTTTTTTCCCAAAAAATATTTTTTAGCTGTTGATGGATCTTTATATTATTTATTTGTATGTGGTGCTGAGAATCTAACCCAGCGCCTCACACGTACAAGGCAAGCACACTACCACTGAGCCACGACCCCAACCCCTTGGGGGGTGATCTCTTAATTGTGTTTATTTTTTTCCCCCCAGTGCCGTCAAAGGAAAAACTCCACAAGTGGGTGATAGAGTATTGGTTGAAGCTACTTATAATCCTAATATGCCTTTTAAATGGAATGCACAAAGAATTCAAACACTACCAAATCAGGTACATAAAATATTGAACTAATTATCATGGGAATTTGGTAATTGAGTCTTCCATTTGACAAAAAACATTTTATCTCTTTTGTTTTTATTAAGAATCAGTCCCAAACCCAACCTTTACTGAAGACTCCTCCTGCTGTACTTCAGCCAATTGCACCACAGACGGCATTTGGTGTTCAGGCTCAGCCCCAGCCTCAGTCACTACTGCAGGCACAGATTTCTGCGGCTTCTATTACACCACTATTGCAGACTCAGCCACAGCCTTTATTACAGCAGCCACAGCAGAAAGGTATTGCGTGCATGTATTCTTATTTTTAATTTCAGACTAATGTGTGTTATGATTTATTTGTTCAAATATAAAGAACATGCTTTTAATTATAAAATAGGCAGGGACATCCAGGAGGTTGAAAAAGAAGGATCTCTTGAGCAAGTGAGTATATGACCAGACTGGGCAATATAGTGAGACCCTGTCTCAAAATATCTAACAGGGACTTTGAGGAAACTTGAAAGGAAGCTTAAATATCTTGAACAAAACATCCTGTAATTCTCCACCTATATGGAAGTAGTTTTGTTTTATTTCTTGTAGTGATAACAAATTCAGTGAATAGGAAATTCAAAGATATGTTTCTTGTGTACTTAAATATCAGAACTGTTATCCCTTGTGCCCCCTTTTGGTATCACATACCAACAATATTTTATTTATACATGTGAATCTTTTCTTTTTAATTAATTAATTTTTATTCATTTTATTGATTTATTTTGGTACCAGGTATCAAACCCAGGGGTGCTTAACAACTGAGACACATTATCAGCTCTTCCCCCCAATACATGGAGTATAACTTATTCTAATTAGGATTTTATTCTTATGGTTGTACATGATGTGGAGTTACTCTTGTCTTATAGGAAAGGAAAGTTATGTCTGAATAATTCTATTGTCTTTTCTGTTTCCCTCTCCCCTCCCTTCCCTTCATTCCCCTTTGTTTAATCCAATGAACGTCTATTCTTCCCCTCCTATCCTTGCTTGTGCATTAGCATACACATATCAGAAAATTTAGCCTTTGGTTTTTTGGGACTGGCTTATTTCACTTAGCATTGATATTTTCCAGTTCCATTCATTTACCAGCAAATGAATAATATTTCATTCTGTATATATACCACATTTTCTTTATTCATTCATTTGTTAAAGGACACTTAGGTTAGTTCCATGGTTTAGTTATTGTAAGTTGATCTGCTATAAAACATTGATGTGGCTGCATCACTCTAGTATGCTGATTTTTAAGTTCTTTGGGTATAAATCAGGGAGTGGGATAACTCGATTAAATGGTGGTTCCATTTCATGTTTTCTGAGGAATCTCCATACTGCTTTCCATAATGGTTGCACCAATTTGAAATCCTCCTGTACATGTGACCTGGTGTTAGTAATTCTATTGTTATTGGGGATCATACCCAGGGGTACTCTACAACTGAGCTACATGCCCCAGCCCTTTTTATTTTATTTTTGGTATTGGGGATTGAACCTAGGAACACTCTTCCACTGAGCTCATTCCTAGCACCCCCTCTTTTTTTTAATAGTTTTTTAAAATAAGGGAATGTTTTTATACTTTGTTTTTATTTATTTGTTTTTATGTGGTGCTAAGAATTGAACCCAGTGCTTCACACATTCTAGGCAAGCACTCTACCACTGAGCTACAACCTCAGCCCCTTTCCAGCCCTTTTTATTTTTTGAGACAGTGTCTCACTAAGTTGCTTAGTGCCCTCACTAAATTGCTGAGGCTAAAAGCCTTAAACTTACTATTCTGCCTCAGCCTTCCAAGTTTCTGGGATAGTAGGTGTGTGTTGGCTACATCCAACCCTTGTTTATTTTTTATTTTGAGACAGAGTCTTGCTAAGTTGTCTAGGTAAGTTGTTTGGGTTTGCCTCTAACTGTTTCAGCTTCACGACTTGCTGTRTATACAATTGTGTGCCACTGTGCCTGGGATTATACAGTGTTTAAAATGGCAGTTAGCCTGCTGCGTGCCATGATACATACCTGGAACCCCAGCAATTTGGGATGCTGAGGCAGTATGATCAAAAGTTGGAGGCCAGGGGCTGGGGTTATGGCTTAGTGGTGRAGTGCTCGCCTAGCATGTGCAGGGTCCTGGGTTTGATCCTCAGCACCACATTAAAATAGAGGTATTGTGTCCAACTACAACTAAAAAATAAATAKTTAAAAAAAAAAAGTTGGAAGCCAACCTGGACCTGTTTCAAAACAAAAAATAGAAAAGATCTGGTGATGTAACTCAGTGGTAGAGTACCCCTAGGTTTAATCATTTTTATTTATTCATTTTTTAATAATTTTAGTTGTAAATGTACATAATAACTTTATTTTTTTATTTTTATAGATATATAATTTGGCATTTTCTCTTTCATTGTATGTTATTATACTAGAGCAAAGTGATAAAATGTATAACTCCATGGTGTAGCTATAGCAAAATTATAAAACCAGGTTACAGCATAATGCATTATTAATTTTAAATGAACATCTGATTGTTCACTACTCAGGTCAAAAAATACACATTGCTTGCTGGGAATATAGCTCAATTGGTAGAGTGCTTGCCTAGCATGCGTGAGGCCTTGGGTTCCCAGCACTACCACCACCAACAACAAAAAACACATTGCTAATACTTGTGTGTAGTGCTAGGGATCAAACCCAGTGCTGTATTTCATAACTGGCAAGCACTCTACCAGTGAACTACATCCCTCAACACCCATGTGCCTCCTTTTTTCTCAAAGTATATATCCTGAATACAATTTAGCTGTCTGCTTTTGACTTAATATGAGATTCCACTTATATTCTAGCTTGTGTAAGGTTTTTACACCATTATGTTAAAGTTTTTCTTTCTATTTATTTCATGTGGGTATAGTTTGTTCATTTTCATTGTGCATTTCCATTGTATGAATATTGTACAATTATCTGTTCTCCTTTACTAATCATTTGGTTATTTCTTATTTTGGTTTCTGTAAACATTCTCATGTGTGCACAGACAATGTGTGTGACTTTTTCTAGCATGTGCAGGGTCCTGAATGGAATTGTTAGGTGTGAGGAGTACATATATCTTCTTAGATAATACCAAACTGTGCCCAAACTACTTGTTTCCTCCAAGTATCTGACAGTTCTCTGATCTCTGAGTTTTTTTCCTCATAGTTTTCTTAAAATATCTTATTTTACAATTGTGAATTGGGATTTGAGTACCTATTTGTTTTGATACTAGGTTTTCAAACCTGGATCTCACATACTTAGCACTCTACCCCTGAGCTACAGTCCTTGCCCTAAGACAGGACCAGTTCTACAACAAAATGTGTAAATTATGATAACTGTGAATGAACAATTTTATTCCCAATTGTTAGACTAATTTCATCTAATCTCATAATACTTTTGTACTTTCTTTAAATGTGTTAATTTAATTTTATTTTTTTCTGTTTTTTTTTTGAAGCTGGCTTATTGCAGCCCCCTGTTCGTATAGTTTCACAACCACAACCAGCACGAAGATTAGATCCACCATCTAGATTTTCAGGAAGGAATGACAGAGGAGATCAAGTGCCTAATAGGAAAGAAGACCGAAGGTATGTTTTAAGAGTATAATATAGATGGTGGTGGTGATTACTCAAAATGTGAATGCATTTAATACCACTGAACTGTGCAGATCAAACTGGTTAATGTGATAAACTTCGTGTCACATACATATAACATTTTTTGGGCGGGGGGGGGGTACCGGGGATTGAACCCAGGGGTACTTAATCACTGAACCACATCCAAAGCCCTTTTATTTTTTGCTTTGAGACAGGGTCTTAAGGCCTTGATAAATTGCTAAATTGCCCAGCAACATAACATTTAAAAAATACATTTTTGAAGAGTTAAAAATGTCTTGTTTTGGGGCTGGGGATATGTGGCTTAAGCAGTAGCGCGCTCGCCTGGCATGCGTGCGGCCCGGGTTCGATCCTCAGCACCACATACAAACAAAGATGTTGTGTCCGCTGATAACTAAAAAATAAATATTAAAAATTCTTTCTCTCTCAAAAAAAAAAGTCTTTATTGCCTATTACATTATTTCTTTAAAAAACTGCCATCATGCCAAAAATATTAGTAATAATTTTATATAAATTTACTTTAAGTCGTGAAAGGGAAAGAGAAAGACGTAGATCCAGAGAAAGATCACCTCAAAGGAAACGTTCCAGGGAGAGGTCTCCCAGAAGAGAGAGAGAAAGATCACCTCGGAGAGTTCGGCGTGTTGTTCCACGTTACACAGTGCAGTTTTCAAAGTTTTCTTTAGATTGGTAAGTTCTTTTTTTCTCTTTCAGTTATTAACTTTGTAATTTTAGTGTGGATTAGTGTGGAATGTGTTACAATCAGGATATTTTACCTGGGAGAATCATTATGTGCTGACATTTGGTGCTCTTATAAGGATAGAAATGCAATTTGAAGTATTATTTTATTTCTCTTCTAGAGTGTATTATTTATAGTACTCATAACTTTAATAAGTTATCAACCATTCAAAAAGAAAACCTCTAAAGGAAATTCTGTTGTGATGAAATCATTGCTTAACAGAATTATTTAAGATCCACATTTATTGATGAAGATCCACATTATATGTGATGAAGCAATAACAAGTAAACCAATTGTTTCAAGCTTATTTGTGATAATATAGTATAAAGTATGAATTGGATCTGCGTATATTCTGAGACCTATATAATWTACATGTGTTTGTGTCCATAAATAAATTATTGAGCTTTTGGAATCAGAGGTTGTGGCAAGTTACCAAGAACTTCTCAGTTTCATCTATAAAATCCATTAGCTTTCAGAATTATTGTTTGGTTCAGTATCTAGAGCACCCAGAGTGTGGCAATTTTAGATTTTCCTTAATTGATAATAGCAGTGAGTTATGATGGCAACTAGGGTTGGTAGATTTAACAGATGGAAAAAGCAAATGGACAGTAAAATAAGAAAATTTTTAAAAGCAGTGTCAGAACTGTTTGTCATAGGTGCAAATAATGTGTGTACTTGAATGACCTGAGAAGATATTGTTACACTTCAACAAAGAATAATTTTTAATATTTATTATGTTGGCCTTTCAAAAGTTGAAATTTCTGCATATTCAATTCTAGATCTGAAAAACAGTGTGATTTAGTGTACTGAATACCAAGAAATTCTTAACTGGTGACTTTGCTTGTTTATATTACTTCATTGTTTATTTACTCCTAACTTTGGCCAGATTAGCAAGTACTCTTAATTTATACTAGTTTTGTTGTTATCCTTTTTTACTATTAGGCTTAAAAAAATCTGTTGGTACCAAAACTACTTCATTCCCCAAGGTACTAAATAGAGGAGCTCTAATTTTTATGCATCTTTCCCAGTATTAAACACTATATARGAAGAGTTGGTAAGATAATTGAGGCAGGCGCCATGGCTCACACCCATAAATCCTAGCAGGTTGGGAGGCTGAGGCAGGAGAATTGTGAGTTCAAAGCCAGCCTCAGCATCTTAGTGAGGACCTGTCTATAAATAAAATATAAAAAAGGGCTGGGGATGTGCCCTGCTATCAAAATAAATAAGGATATGAAATAGAACAGCTCCTACTAAAGATCACCTTCACAGTTTCACTTTTACTGCTAACAATATCAACCGAACCCATTACAAATAAACATCATTTTAAAGTTTCCATGTCTCCTTAATCTGTAGTTGTGGAAATTAAATTTTTTATACTAATATAATTATGAGCACTTATTTGCAATTAATGCTTTATGTGGACTTATGTCTGTTTTATCATAGATTTTTTTCCTATGGGGTAAAACTTCTTACATTCTAGTACTGAGAAACTATTACCTATACTTTGTTCCTTAAAAATAAAACTCAAATATATTTTGCACACTTTTGATACAATCTTTATTTATTTTTTTAGTTTTAGGTCGATACAATATCTTTATTTTATTTTTATGTGGTACTGAGGATCGAACCCAGTTCTTCATACATACTAGGCAACGTACTCTACCTCTGAGCCACAACCCCAACCCCTTGACAGAAGCTTAACCAGATAAAGTATAATTATATCAGCAGCCACAATAGAAAATTATCCCAAAATAAAATAAAAGTAAAATAAAATATTATTTTATTTTGTGATGTTGGGATTAAACCAGGGCTTTGTATATGCTAGGCAATTAGTCTGTTTCTAAGCTATATACCCAATGTATCTCTATTTTTTGTTTWTAGGTGTCTGATAAAGACATCTCTACATAGAGATTAGTTTTTTTTTTCTTTTCTCCTTCCTTTCTTCCTGTACTAGGGATTGAACCCAGGGGCACTTTACCTATGAAGTATATCCCCTCCCCTTTTTATTTTTATTTTGAGATGCGGGTCTCGTTAAGTTGCAGAATCTGTCCTTGAACTGTCCATCTTCCTGACGCAGTCTCTTGAGTTGCTGGGTTACATATGTGCTCCAACATGTCCAGCAGAATTCATGTATGTGTTTCATTTTTTGGGTGTGTGTGGTAATGGCGTTGAACCCAATGGTACTCTAGTGAGCTACATCTCCAAATCTCCAGCCATTTTTTTTGTTTTGTTTTGAGATGGTCTCACAAAAGTGCACTCTTTCTGTCATAGCCTGGTGAGTTTCTAGAATTGGACCACCTCACCTACTCATTATGCTTTTTTTTTTTTTAGTTGGGCACAATACCTTTATTTTATTTATTTTTATGTGCTGCTAAACCTAGTACCTCACATATTCTTGGCAAGTGCTGTACCCCTGAGATATAACTCTGACCCTCAATTATGCTTTTTGTAAATTTTTTTTTTATAGTTGTAGATGAATACAACATCTTTATTTATCTTTATGTGGTGCTGAGGATAGAACCCAGGGTCTCACACATGCTAAGCAAGTACTCTACCACTGAGCTACAATCCCAGCCTGTCAGTTATGCCCTTTTGTTCAATTGTTTATCTTTGAGTTTCTCACCTTTAAAATCTGCTTTTTACAGGCTGGGGATGTGGCTCAAGCGGTAGCGCTCTCGCCTGGCATGCGTGCGGCCCGGGTTCGATCCTCAGCACCACATACACCGCCAAAAACTAAAAAAAAAAAACTTAAAATCTGCTTTTTGCGGAAAAGGAAACTAATTTTTTAAAATTTTTATTAGTTATTGATGGACCTTTATTTATTTTTTGTTTATATATGGTGCTGAAAATCAAACCCAGTGCCTCACACATGCTGGGCAAGCACTCTACCACTGAGCCACAACCCCAGCCCCAGGAATCTAATCTTTAAAATATCAGTGCCAGATTTAAAAGGCAAGAGTTCTATTTCCTTTTTACATAATAATAATAATTAAGTATTGATTTACTTAAATTCTTATAGAGAAGTATAGAGGTGTAGATAATATAAAGAACACATATATTTATTTCATTTGTATTTTAGTATTTGATTTTTAATTTAAGTGTATCGATCTACAAGCTTACTCTAGAATAGAACTTGAATTTGCTGAATAAGTCTGATTGAGGGGTATTTGAGTACTAATTTGGTATTACTCTTATCCCTTCTTTGTATGTATTTTGTGTGAATTATGATTTTCTCAAGTAATATACATTTTAAACTAAGTCAAAACTACTTTTGTTTCAATCTTCTCTAGAGCTGTGGGTTTTCTTTATTTCAAAGTGTCTTCTCTAATGAATTATAAGCTACATACAAAAAGTAGAGAAGTAAAGGTAACAGATACTGATAATTCAAAACTGCAACTATATACAAATTTTGAAAAATAAAATTTTCACATATCTCCATCTGAATTTGTACTTCATTTAATTGACTATTCTCAAATTGCTTTTTACTCTGTAAGGTTATTTAGCTTCAGAATTATGTGAATGTATAACCTTTGGTGTAAGGCTGCTTATTCACTACTTATGTCTGTTTTTCAGTCCTAGTTGTGACATGATGGAACTAAGGCGCCGTTATCAGAATTTATATATACCTAGTGACTTTTTTGATGCTCAGTTTACATGGGTGGATGCTTTCCCTTTGTCAAGACCATTTCAGCTTGGAAATTACTGCAATTTCTATGTTATGCACAGAGAAGTAGAGTCATTAGAAAAAAATATGGCCATTCTTGATCCTCCAGATGCTGACCATTTATACAGTGCAAAGGTTTGTATTTGTGATTTTCAGCTTAATTTCTTAATAGTTTTTCAAAAATAAGAGGATATGTGGAACCATTCTTTTTTTGGGAGGGGATATGGGGGATTGAACTCGGGGCACTTGACCACTGAACCATATCCCCTTAAGTAATTTAACCTCTTTGTGCCTCACTTATTACGTAATAAAATAATGGTTGTTTTAACATTTTAATCCTTATAAAAATGTGAAGATGAAGTTGAAAGTTGAATGTTATGACTTTTTTGTTTGTTTTTTTTTTAATATTTATTTTTTAATTTTCGGCAGACAGAACATCTTTATTTGTATATGGTGCTGAGGATTGAACCCGGGCCGCACGCATGCCAGGCGAGCGCGCTACCACTTGAGCCACATCCTCAGCCCTGTTTGTTTGTTTTTTGTACTGGGGATTTAACCCAGGGACACTTTACCATTGAGCTACATCCCCTACCTTTTTTATTTTTTATGACTTTTGGCCCCAGATAAAACTTAATATTGGTTGAATGCACTAAATTTTTGTCTTTAGGATAACATTTAGAATATGGCTATCAGAGTTAGTTTTCTTCTGGTTTAAAACATTGTTTGATCTAAAAAGCATCCCTTAAATCTCGAGTGGTGGCAGGCAGACATTCATAGTCAGGTAATACAGTTTGTTGAGTCAAGTTGGCAGTTGTGAAGGACTCAATTTGGTTTGTTAAGAGATGCCCCAAGCTGGGAGTGGTGGCTCACGCCTGTTATTCCAGCAGCTCAGGAGGCTAGGCAGGAGGATCTCAAGTTCAAAGCCAGCTTCAGCAATTTAGCAAGATTCTATCTCTAATGAAATACAAAAAGGGGTTAGGGATGTGGTTCAGTGGTTAAGTGCCCCTAGATTCAATTCCTGGTAAAAAAAAAAAAAAAAAACAAAAAAAAACAAAACTCAAACCTGATAGAAAAGAATTCCAGAATATTTCTATGACAATAGCAATAGATTTTGCTATAATGGGATTTAGAATGTCTTTGGATGCTGTTAAAGTTCTTTTGAAATTAATCTATCATCCCTATTAATAACATCATTGTGGGTGGCTCAGTACTTTTTGGCAAAGGGTTTGAGAACCTCATGAGGTAAAATTTTGTTCCCTTTTCTTCCATAATATTTTCTATTTGTAAATTAAAATAATTTCAAAAATTTAAAAAAATCTTCCCTTGATAAGTTAAAACTTTATAAGGTATTTAATATTTTAACTTATTTCTGTAACATTTTGCATCCATTTTTGTGAGAAATTTCAAATAACTAAAATGTGAGTTTAAGTAGTAGTGCTTCTCATTTTTGTTTTTACATTACGTTAGACTTTTGACAGGATTGAATTATTTGACTATAATAGGTAATGCTGATGGCTAGTCCTAGTATGGAAGATTTGTATCATAAGTCTTGTGCTCTTGCTGAAGACCCACAAGAACTTCGAGATGGATTTCAACATCCTGCTAGACTTGTTAAGGTAAAATAAACTATTTGTTTTATCTTTAGGTGTATATTCATTTACCTTAGTGCTTACTGTGTATATGTGAAATTTAAAAACAGCATATTTTTAATCTTGTTTAGTTACTACATGATTTTAGTATTATTAAGGTACTCACAATTTAATGATACAGATGTCTTTCTCACTGCAGATTGTGGCTATACTTTATTTGTGTATAACGACTTCAACTGTCATTTTGATTTGTTGTATTTGTAGCATATTAAAATCTTAGTGATAATGGGATTTAGAATATCTTTGGATGCTGTTAAAGTTTGCATTATAGCTTGTTTCTTTAAAAGAATGCTAACTGAAGAAATATTATAGAAGGATGAGTTATGATGTGTAAATCCTATTCCATTGCTGAAATGCAGTGTGGAACACGATGAACTGAACTCTTCCTTGACTGACAGATATCTGAGGTAGTAAAAATGATATTGGAAAGGTTTGTACCTTTCCTTTTCAAGTATTTATTTGTAATTTCACAAGTTATATAATGTATGTAAGTGATTCTTTGTTTTGAATTAGTTTTTAGTGGGCATGAAAGGCAAGGATGAAGCCATGGCCATTGGTGGGCACTGGTCTCCTTCGTTGGATGGACCAGACCCTGAAAAAGATCCCTCCGTGTTGATTAAGACTGCTATTCGTTGTTGTAAGGCTCTGACAGGCATTGATCTAAGTGTTTGCACACAATGGTAAGTATCAATTCATTTCTTGATTAGAAATATTTAATAGATTTGTAGATGTTCTTATCGATCAGCCTTTTCCCCTTCCTTATTTTAGCAACACTGGTCATGCAGGTAATCTCAAAGGAAAATCCCCATTTGTAGCAAAAGTTTATTTGGTGCCAAAAATGTTTTTTGGAAAAAGGATTAAGAACTAATCAAAATATACTGAAAATTTAAATGTTTTGTTATGCTGTACTTTGGAAGTTTGGTTGTATGTTGAAAATACTTTTCATTTCATGTATAGCTGGAGAAGATCGTCAAGAGAGAACTTCATTTCATTATAATTCTTTTGTTATTAAATGATGTAGTTGCTGATTATTTTTGTTCAGCCATATTTTCTCTTGAGGCTTATTTGTCCTATGTATTTTAGTATATTTCTTGTGACTTAATTGAGAATATTCTTTTTTAGCACATGAAATCTGAACAGCTATCCAGCTTCTTCAGGTATTATCTAAAATATGGGTAGCTTTGTAATCAAACTTGAAAATGTGTTGTGGGAACTTATTCTTTTATTCAATAAAATATTGTACAAATGTACCAAAAGAGGAACTATGGCTTCTATAATTTTTTTTTCTTTAGACCAACCTCAAGTTCTTGCAGCAAAATTTCTTTACTTGATGTGCTACAAGTGAACTAGGGTCTTTAAAATGTATTTTAGAATTTTTTTTCCAACATGCTTCTTCCCTTGCAACAGGTACCGTTTTGCAGAGATTCGCTACCATCGCCCTGAGGAGACCCACAAGGGGCGTACAGTTCCAGCTCATGTGGAGACAGTGGTTTTATTTTTCCCGGATGTTTGGCATTGCCTTCCCACCCGCTCAGAGTGGGAAACCCTCTCCCGAGGATACAAGCAGCAGCTGGTCGAGAAGCTTCAGGGTGAACGCAAGGAGGCTGATGGAGAACAGGCACTGAACGCTAATCCCTTTTTCTATTTCCGCTTCTCACAGGCACAGGAACACAGGCACAAATGCACACCACACACTACATAACAAACACACATGGAGGAACATAAGTGGTAACAGCGACTGGTAATCCAGCTTTCAGCAGTATAGTTGAATGTTCTTTTCTCTTAAAAATTTTGTCTATTATGCTAACATTGAGAGTGTTGAGACCTCAAAGGAAAATAAGTTGTGCTTAAATTGCACAGAACTTTGTTTCTACCATAGATCTAGTTGCTGGAATCTGGGACCAGTTGTTGAGCAAGATTAAGTATTAAGCCATTTTAAACATTTTGCCATTTTCTAAAATTTAAAAGATTTTCTCTTTCATGGTCATCAGTTCTAGTCATGGATATTTGAAATTGGACAACCACAAGTCTGAGAGATTTGACATTTCAGGCTATGTGGCAACGTCTTTGGTACATTTCAAAGGTCTGACTAAATCAGTCTTTGGGTGGCTTGAAAATTGGGGCAAGATCACACACTGTGTGGTTAGTGGAGACCGGCAGTGTTTGTGCATCCCTGATATCCTTTGTGTTGTAATTTATCACCCTTTTGTGTTTCACAGATCTGGCTTTGATTGGCTGATGAGTGTCTTTGTGATCAGTTAAAAATGATAGAATGTATGTACGTGGACTTGCCTAAATAATAACTTTAGGAGAAGACAATCTGAAACATTTGTGACCTTGCACAGATCAGCAACAGACTTTTAAAAGTGAATTAATTTTATTTTAAGGTTTCAAAATAGTAATTATGTTCTTAACTTTGTATATTAGGATGAAGAAGAAAAGGATGATGGTGAAGCTAAAGAAATTTCCACTCCTACCCATTGGTCTAAACTTGATCCAAAGACAATGAAGGTAACTTTGAAAATTTCGGTTTTTAATTTGAAATCTCTTTAACAGGAATACATAATATTGGTGAGAATGATGGTAGTATGTTTTTCAAATAAAAACCATTCAAAATGAAGTCTGTCTTGGCACCATGGCACACATTTGGAATCCCAGGTTCTTTGGAGGCTGAGGCAAATTGGAGGCCAGCCCAGGTAATTTAGCAAGACCCTTCCTCAAATAAATAACAAGGGCTGGAGATATAGCTCAGTGGGGTAAAGTCCATGTTTTCTTTTTCTTTTTCTTTTTTTTTTTTTTTTTGGAGTTTGTCCCAGGCCCTTGTGAGCTATACAACCACTGTACCTCTGAGCTACATCCCCAGCCCTTTTTATTTTATTCTGAGACAGGATCATGCTACATTGTCCAGCCTGGCCTTGAACTTGTGATCCTCCTGCTTACCCTGTGCCATCAGGTCTGGCTGTTCACTGATTTTATATTACTATAATATATTGTATTTACCTGTGAATATATACATACATGCATAAATAAAAAGTGATGTTAAATATCAGTCTAGCTAGTACCTGTAAAATGCTTGCAATTTCAAAGTACCTATAGTATCAGGAATATTGTTTTCTGGTTCAGTAATTGACCAAGAAGGCAGAATTTATCACTGGGCACAGTGGCACATGGCCTGTGTAATCCCTGTGGATTGGGAGACTGAGGTAGGAGGAGCACAAATTCAAAGCCAGCCTAAGCAATTTAGTGAGACCCTGTCTCAAAATAAAATATAAAAAGGGTTAGAGATGTGGTTCAGTGGTTAAGCACCTCTGGATTCAATCCCTGGTACAAAAAAAAAAGGAGGTGGGAGGCAGCAGAATTCTTACACTTATGGGGCTGGAGTTGTGACTCAGTGGTAAAGCACTTGCCTTGCATGTGTGAAGCACTGGGTTCAATGTTTAACACCACATAAAAAGAAATAAAATAAAGGTATTGTGTCCATCTACAACTAAAAAATTAAAATTAAAAAAATATATTTAAAAAATTTCTAAACTTATGTAACTTAAATTCAGGGGTCAGAAAAGAAACAGGAAAAAGATGAACTTGATTTAAAAATAAATTTAAGAGTAAAATGTAGAATGTATGCCTCTAAACTGGGAAGGAAATAATTTAATAATTTCTTTGAAAATAAGTGGTTAACCTGCGTTAGTTTTTTCTTCTGGGTGTCTCTAGCCCAGTTATCTTAGTATTTTTTCTGCTGTTTTGTATTTCGAAACTATAATCTATGGTCAAGATAGAGACTGATCTTTACTTCACCTTTTAGAGTTTGTTTTTAGCAAATGCCTTCTAGTTGACTTTTGTTGTTAGCACAAAACAATTTTTCTACTTAGTTAGGAACAATTTCTTTCTGGATTTTTGTTGTTTTGTKTTTGTGGGGGGTTGGGGGGAGACTGATTTTTTTTTTTTTTTCCTTTTAGTACATAGGATTGAACCCTGGACTACTCTATCACCACATTATATCCCCAGCACTAATTTCATTTTATTTTGTTGTTTGGGTTTTTAAGACTTAGTGTTGAGTTTGGCCTTGACTTGTGAACCTGTTATCTCAGCCTCCTAACTCCTAAGTAGCTGAGATTACAGGCATGCCCCACCTAGCAAGGCTTGAACCTTGACTTTAAACTCCTTGGTTTTTAGTAAGTACACAATGTATGTCATAAGAATGTTCCTTATTTGTTGAGAGCCACAGTTTAGTCAGATTGAAGCCTGGCATTTTTGCCAGAGGGAATGGTTGAAAGGTGACCCTGCTTCGGGATTAGGGCGGATCCTGCTGCCTTGGGCGCAGGAGTTCCCTTTGAGTTCTCTTGGGGTTCTGAGAATTGAGCCCRGTGTAGGCAGTGTGTTCCCGGGAAGTGTGTGTAGAGTGCCAGTGAGAGTTCGGGAATAAAGGTTGCTGTTTGAACCTACAAGGTTGTGTGGCGGCTCGGTTATTTTGTGCCCAGCCAGACTGGGGCAGTTATTCTTTAATTACTTCCAAGTTGTCATCATCAATATCAGGTTCATATAGGGTACTCAAAAGATTATGAAAACATTGACAATAAGACTAAGACTATACCCAACACTTTTTTTTAAAACTGATTGTTTTGATGTTAAGTTCTTTATTTTATTTTTATTTATTTATTTTTTTGATACTGAGAATTGAACCCAGTGCCACTTTACCACTGAACTACATCCCATAGTCCTTTTTAATTTTTTATTTTCGAATAGTCTTGGTAAGTTGTATAGGGTCTTGCTAAGTTGCCTAGAGGTGCCTTGCCTCGACCTTGGGTTCCTCTTACCTCATTTTCCCATGGAGCTAGCATTATAGGTGTGTGCCACCACATCCAGATTCTGTTTTCTTTTTTATAGGATACAAGTAATGTATTTAGTTGGTTGGTTGGCTCAAATCATGTTGTATTCAAAAGTTGCATTTTAATCATTTTCATTTAACATCTTTTTTTCTCATGTAATTGTTTCTCAATTTTACATTCTATGTGGTTTATGTATTAATACTTCTTAGATATTGCTTTTTATTGAATGTGCAGATTCTATACTTTTTTGAAGTGAAGGACTGTTGTAAGTAAATCTAACAAGGTATGCTAGTGCAACTCTGTAATCCCAGTGACTTGGGAAACTCTGCAGCAGAAGGATTACAAATTCTAGTCCATCCTCTGAAACTAAGTGAGACCCTATCTCAAAATAAGGTGAAAAAAAGGGCTTACCTAATACCCAAAAAGGTCCTGTGTTCAATTCCTAGTATTTCCAAAAAAAGGTTAATAATTAGTAAATCTGTTTTTCTCCCTGAGTTCAGGATATTTCACACACACACACACATACACACACATAATTTTAATAGTTTTATTTACTTTTTGGGGGGGGGTACTAGGGATTGAACCCAGGCACTCTAGTAACTGAGCTATATTCCCAGGCCCTCATTTATTTATATTTATGTCAGCTGAGGATCAAACCCAGTGCCTCACACATGCTAGGCAGGCCCTGTACCACTGAGCCATGATCCCAGCCCCCCAGGATATTTCTTTAGGTAAATTCCCAGAAATTAGAATTACTGGGTCAAGGGTTAGGGGGATAGATCAGTGGCAGACCACCTGCCTAGCATGTGCAAGGTTCTGGGTTCAACCTCTAGTACCATTAAAAAAAAAAAAGAAAGAAAGAAAGAAAGAAAAGAAGAAAAAAGGAACAGTAAAAAAATCTTTGAATAATCTTAAAATGTTTTGAATTATTTTCCAAAATATTCTATACATATCACCTGTGTGTTTTTTTGTTTTGTTTTGTTTTGTTTTTTTTTTTTTGGATACCCAGAATTGCACTCAGGAGTACCTAGCCACTGAGCCATATCCCCAGTCTTTTTTTACCGTTTTATTTATTTTTTATTTTTTGGTACTGGGTATTGAACTCAGGGGGCACTTAACCACTGATCCACATGTCCAGCCCTATTTTGTATTTTAGTTAGAGAAAGGGTCTCACTGAGTTTGCCTAGTGCCTCAGTTTTTCAGAGACTCGCTTTGAAATCACGATCCTCCTGCCTCAGGCTCTGGAATTAAAGGTGTGCACCATGTTGTCCAGCACCTTTTTATTTATTTTGAGACTAAGTTGCTCTGGGCCTTGCTAAACTGCTAAGTTGGTCAGGGCCTTGCTAAATTGTTTACTAAGGCTGTCCTTGAACTTGAGATCCTCTTGCCTCAGCCTCCCAAGTCACTAGGATTATAGGCATGCACCAGCACGTCTTTGTCTTTTTTCATAAAATTTTTTTTTTAAATCAGGTAAAGGTATATAGTTTGTTTATATCCCATTTTCTTTTTCTATGTTTTTATGTTGCACACATTTAGGTAAATGATCTCCGAAAAGAATTAGAAAGTCGAGCCCTTAGTTCCAAAGGATTAAAATCCCAGTTAATAGCTCGATTGACAAAACAACTTAAAGTAGAAGAACAAAAAGAAGAACAGAAGGAATTAGAGAAATCTGAAAAAGAAGAGGAAGAAGAGGATGATAGGAAATCTGAAGATGATAAAGAGGTATTTATTCAACATTTGAATATAGTTGTATTGGTATTTCTCTTATATGACTTCACTTTGTGTGTGTGTGTGTGTGTGTGTGTGTGTTTTGTATTGTTTTATTAAGGTATGTAAAAGTCGAATTTTTTCCCACAGGTGCTTTACCACTGAGCTAAATCCCACAATCCTTTTTATTTTTATTTTATTTTTTAAGTTGTGTATGGACTTAATGCCTTTATTTGTTTTTATGTGGTGCTAGGATCAAACCCAATGCCTTACACTTGGGAAGCAAGTGCTCTACCACTGAGCTACAACTCCAGCCCTCCTTTTTATTTTTTGAGACTGGGTTTTTTCACTAATGAGCTGAGGGTGTCCCTAAGTTGTTGAGGCTGACCTTGAACTTGTACTCCTGCCTCAGGCTTCTATGTAGCCGGGATTACAGGCTTGTGCCACTGCACCTATCTAAAAATTCATACCTGTAATGAATAGTTCTGCAATTTTTAAAAATTATTTGTTCTAATTAGTTATACATGACAGTAGAATGCATTTTTTAAAAAATATTTTTTAGTTATAGTTGGGCATAGTACCTTTATTTTATTTGTTTATTTTTATGTGGTGCTGAGGATCGAACCCAGCTCCTCGAATGTGCTAGTTGAGCTCTCTACCCCGCTGAGCCACAACCACAGCCCCTACAATGCATTTTGACATATGATACATATATGGAATATAACTTCTCATTCTTGTTGTACATGGTATAGAATCATACCAATCATTTAATCATATGTACGTTCGGTAATAATGTCCGATTTATTGAACTATCCTTCCTACTCCTATACCCTGTCTCCTCTCTTCACTCCCCTCTGTCTATCCAAAGTACCTCTGTTCTTCCCTAACCCCCCTGCCCTCATTGTGAATTAGCATCCACTTATCAGGAAAAATAAAATAAAAATTCAGCTTGAGTTCCAGTGAAATGCTCATGCCCTAATTGTGATGCTTCTAAAGTAATATTTTTGATTGGATTCTACTCAAGAATAGACAAAAGTATTCAAGCTATTTTGTACCTCAGTTTTATATCTAATACATTTATTCCTTAGTGCATAAGCTTATTGTGTTCTCTGAATTTGAGAGCTAGTGTGTTTTAGCCCCAGTAATTGGATAAACCCTTAGGGTTTTTAAATGTGATGTATTATAAAATACCCATACACAGTTCCTAAAGAAGTTCTTCGAGAAATATGTGACATAGATCAAATTGTAAGGAAAACAATTGGGTAAATCTGAAAAGTGAAAAATTTTATAAAGCAAGTTGTGTGAACTTTTCAGAATGTGTCCACATTAAAGAAAGAAACTTAGGAGCTGTCTTAGATTGAAGAAGGTTAGTGAATTTGACTGGATCTGGGCTAGGGAAAAAATGTCATTAAGAATGGTATATGGGCTGAGGATGTGGCTCAAGCGGTAGCACGCTCGCCTGGCATGCGTGCAGCCCGGGTTCGATCCTCAGCACCACATACAAACAAAGATATTGTGTCTGCCGAAAACTAAAAAATAAATACTAAAATTCTCTCTCTGTCTCTCTCTCTCTCTCTCTCTCTCTAGAAAAAAAAAATGGTATAATTGGAGCCAGGTGTGATGGCACATACCTGTAATCCCAGTGGCTCAGGAGGCTAAGGCAGGAATCAGAGTTCAAAGCCAGCCTCAACAAAAAGTGAGGTGCTAAGCAGCTCAGTGAGATCCCGTCTCTAAATAAAATACAAAATCGGGCTGGAGATGTGGCTCAGTGGTTGAGTGTCCCTGAGTTCAATTCCCAGTACTGGGAGGGAAAAAAAGAACAGTATAATTGGAGAAATTTGATTGTATATGTAGTTGTTACATTAGATATTATTGAAGTTTTATTAAGTTTTGTGGATATGATAATGGTTTTGTGATTATGTAGGAGAATTACCTTTTTTTAGACAATACATGAACTTGTGATTTCTTATCAATTGGCAGATAAAATACTTATTTTGGTGATAACATTTTTTCAGAATTGACCAGTGGGAACCCTTTTGATATGTACTTTTGACATATCTTCATCAGTTTTTGAAGGATTTCTTACTTTTTGGCCTGATAGGATGTTTCAGTCTTATTGTGTACAGTTCTCACTTTTGGTCTTCAGTCTCTTATGGTCAGGAACCCCAAAGAACCTGGTGTGGTGGTACACACCTGTAATCCTATTTACTATGGAGGCTGAGGCAGGAGAATTATAAATTCAAGGTCAGCCTATATAACTTAGTGAGACTTTCAAAATGAAAAAAATAATGGGCTAGGAATATTGAGTAGTAGAATGCCCCTGGGTTCAATCCCCAGTACAGCAAAAAAAAAAAAAAAARAGAGAGAGAGAGAGAGATATCCAAAAGAAAGAATTCGAACCCATAAAAGCTACTACCCTTAGTAAATTTGAACTCTTCTATTTTTTTCAACCCTTGTAGTTGTTTTGGTCTCTCTAAAGAATTTTAGGTATTTTGCCGTTTTTCTTTATATGGTGTACATTTTTTGAATAAATACATATTGTACATGAAGGTTTAAACCATGAACTAAAATTTCAAAATCCAGGAGGAAGAAAGAAAACGTCAAGAGGAAATGGAACGCCAGCGTCGGGAAAGAAGATACATTTTGCCTGATGAACCAGCCATCATTGTGCATCCAAATTGGGCTGCAAAAAGTGGCAAGTTTGATTGTAGCATCATGTCTCTGAGTGTCCTTTTGGACTACAGATTAGAAGATAATAAAGAACATTCGTTTGAGGTAATGTTTTATGTTTGAATCAGGATCCAGATAAGGCCCACATATTGTGTGTCTCTTAAATCTCTTTTTCTCCCAATTGCTAATTAGGAAAATCAACAGTTTATAAAGTTTCATATAAATTACTTTTGTTGATTTTTTTTTTTTTAACCCTATGGTATAGTAATACCACTGAAATATGCTTGTGTCCTCTGTATTTTCTACAAATTGATAGTTAGATCTAAATTCTTTTTTTTTTTTTTTTAAGAGAGAGAGAGAGAGAGGGAGGGAGGGAGAGTGAGAATATTTTAATATTTATTTTTTAGTATTTGGCGGACACAACATCTTTGTATGTGGTGATGAGGATCGAACCCGGGCCGCACGCATGCCAGGCAAGCGCGCTACCACTTGAGCCACATCCCCAGCCCAGATCTAAATTCTTAATCAAGTTGTGGGCTTTTAAAAGAATTTTGAACTTTTTGAAGAATCTGTTGAAATCCTGAATCTTAGTTTTAGAACTATTTAGATAAGGCCATGCATGGTGGTACATACCTGTAATCCCAGTAACTCAAGAGGATTGTAAATTCAATGCCAACTTGGGTAATTTAGCCCTGTCTCAGAAAGATAAAAAGGAGAAGGGGATGTTGCTCAGTTGCAGAGCAGCCCTGGGGTTTAGTCTCCAGTGCTATAAATAAATAAATATATTTTAGTGTGTAAGTTGATGAATATGTGGTAGCTCTTAGCATAATAATAATAATGGATATTCCATACTCAGGGTTTTTAATTGTTTTAATTGCCTGAAATGTTCTTCTAGATATCTTCATAATTCATTTATTCACTGCCTTCTAGTCACTTTTTTTGGGGGGTGGGGGGTACTGGAGGTTGAACCCAGGGGTGCTTAACCCACATCTCCAACCTCTTTTGAATTTTATTAGAGACGGGATCTTGCTGAGTTGCTGAGGCTGGCATTGAATTTGCAATCCTCCTACCACAGCCTCATAAACTAATGGGATTACAGGCCTGTGCCACCATGCCCAGCCTTCTGGTCACTTTTTAAATGTCAGAAAGAGACCTTGTCTAACTACTCTTTCTCACTTTCTTTTTATAAAATACATGCTAGGCAAGTGCTTTACCACTGAGTTGCATCCCAGTCCCTTTATATGCTTGTTTTTCTTGTAATTTGATATTAATTGGGTTATTTCTTATACTAGGTTTGTTACCTTTGTACTGAAATAAATTTTTTTTTTCTTTTCACTGCTGTATTCCCAGCCCATGGTACATAGTAGGCATTTGATTAAAAACTCATTGACTGGGTCTGTAGTCATAGCTTAGTAGCAGAGAGCTTACCTAGCATGTGTGAGGCACTGGGTTTAATCCTCAGCACTACATAAAAATAAATAAATTAGCTAAAGGTATTGTGTCCATCTGCAACTAAAAAATATGTTAAAAAAAAAAAGTATTGACCAACCAATGGAAATATAAACAAACCCTTATAGAATAAATAAAGTATTGTGAAGATTAATAGTTTCGTTAGGAGTAAAGAATTTTTTTTTTCTTTTCAGATTTTCTATAGTAGATTACTATTATTGTATTTGACTAAAACTATACTAACCTAATATTTTATATCTTTGAAACATTGTGTCAGCATTTTGAGTCTTTGACATCAATTATTATAACTATATTTTAAATGTACTTAATAGATTCAGCAAATATTTATTAAAATTATTAACTGCTAGATTTAATATTTCTGTTGCATTTGTGTTAATTTTCATATCTTTTTATAGGTTTCATTGTTTGCAGAACTTTTCAATGAAATGCTTCAGAGAGATTTTGGTGTCAGAATATACAAATCATTACTCTCTCTTCCTGAGAAAGAGGACAAAAAAGAAAAGGATAAGAAAAGCAAAAAAGATGAGAGAAAAGATAAAAAAGAAGAAAGAGATGACGAAAATGATGAGCCAAAACCCAAACGGAGAAAATCAGGAGATGATAAAGATAAAAAAGAAGATAGAGATGAAAGGAAGGTCTGTAATTATTTCCATAATTCCTTCTTTTAGATTGTAACAATGATGTTATTTTCATCAGAATATTAAAATACGAAGCCAAACTTTAGGAAATTTGTCTTTTAATTAAGCCAATTCCCCAAACTGCTGAGGGCCTCAATAAGTTGCTAAATTGGTCTCCAATTTGAGATTCTCCTTCCTCAGCCTCCTGAATTGCTGGGACTATACACATGAGCCACCACTCCCAGCTATTGTTACTCTTAAATATATTACTTTGTGATTGCTGTTGTTATGGCTCAGTAGTAGAATGCTTGCCTGGCATGTGTGAGGCACCACATAAAAATAATTAATTAAATAGAGAAATGATGTCCATTATACAACTAAAATAAAAAAGCATTACCTTTTTAAGAAATTTATWGTTTGAAACTATTTTAAGTAAATACCTTTTTTTTTTTTGGTGATGCTGGGATTAAAACCCAGCTCATTGCACACATGTTAGGCAAATGCCCTACCTCTGAGCTACATCCCCAGTCCTTTAAATAAATAAATGTAATGGACTTAATGTTTTCTTACTAAATTTTAAATTACAGAAAGAAGATAAAAGGAAAGATGATTGTAAAGATGATGATGAAACTGAAGAAGATAATAATCAAGATGAATATGACCCAATGGAAGCAGAAGAAGCTGAGGATGAAGAAGATGGTATGATTCAAATTTTCTTATTACTGATTATGTTTGAAAAAACATTTGTTTGCTGACTTTGTATCAGTGAAATCTATGATTTTAATATTTTTTATTAGAAAGTTAAAATATTCTCTAATGAAAATATATTAAGTGATTGTTGTTCACTAATTTTTAGGTGAGAAGGCTATATTTTGGTGCTTTTGGTTTTTGTTTTTTATACTACTGGTAATTGAACCCAAGGTCTACAAAAGCTCCACAAGTGCTCTAACCATTGAACTGCATCCCTAACCCTTTTATAGAATTTAACTCAGAGAAAGGGTCTTGCTAATTTTCACAGACTGGACTTGAACTTGAAATCCTCCTGCCTCAGCCTCCCAAGTAGCTGGTATTACAGGTGTACACATATGCCCAGCCAGAATATATTCTTTGAAAAATAATTTGAGTGGTTTTTTTTTGTATTTTATAAATGAATACTATCATCATGCAATGAGTATATATTTATGGTTTAAATACTATTAATAATAATTACCCATGGTACCTATTAACCTATGTCTTAAAAACCATGTAGGGGCGGGCTAGGGTTGTGGTAGAGCACTTGCTTAGCATATGTCAGGCACTGGGATCGAGTCTTAGCACCACATAAAAAAATAAATCAATAAAATAAAGACCCATCAACATCTAAGAAATATATTTTAAAAAAACATGTAGGGTTGACATTCTATTTTTTTTTTTTTTTAAGAGAGACAGAATTTTTAATATTTATGTTTTAGTTTTCGGCAGACACAACATGTTTGTATGTGGTGCTGAGGATCGAACCCGGGCCGCATGCATGCCAGGCGAGCGCACTACCGCTTGAGCCACATCCCCAGCCCGGGTTGACATTCTAAATACTTTTTTTTGTACCAGGGATTGAACCCAGGGGTGCTTTAACTACCAAACTACATCAGCTCTTTTTAAATTTTTTTTTGGAGAAACGGTCTTGCTGAGTTGCTTAGGGTCTTTCTAAGTCGCTGAGGTCTTTCTAAGTCCTGCCTCAGCTTTTCAAGTTGCCGGGATTACAGGCATGTGCCACCGTGTCTGGCTGACACTCTAAATACGTTCTAGTAAACATTCTGATCAGTAATAGATGTTGGCCATAAAGTATCTCTATGTAATACGTTACCCATATCTCTTTATGTTGATGTGACTTGAGAATTTTGTCTTTTTCTCATATCAGAAAACTAAAAACCTTTTTTTTTTTTACTGTATCTATGGATGATACTTCTTATTATTAAAGGTTATTTTGGTTTGCAGCTTTTGGGTTTTTTGGTAGTGGGGATTTAACCCAGGGGCGCTTTACCACTGGGCTACATCCTCAGTCCTTTATTTTATATATGTATTTTTTATTATGAGACAAAGTCTCAAAGTTGCTGAGGACCTTACTGAGTTGCCAAGGCTCACTGTGAACTTGATATCCTCCTATCTCCACCTCCCCAGTTGCTGGGATTGTGTGCATGTGCCACCCTGATTGGATCATCACATTTTCTTCTCATGTCATTTCATTTTTCTTATTGATGAAAATATTCACGTAAAATGTTGAGGGGGCTGGGAATATAGCTCAGTTGGTAGAGTGCTTGCCTCACATGTACAAGGCCCTGGGTTCAATCCCCAGCACCAAAAAAATAAATAAAATGTTGAGAGAATTGTACAATGAACACCCATATGTCTTCCAATTAGGATTTAATATTCGTTAATATTTGACTTATTTGTTTTGTCTTTTTTCTGATCCATTTGAAAGTATGAATTCTTCAACTTACTTGGGAGGCCGTGGAAGGAGGATCACAAGTTTGAGGCCAGCATTAGCAAGTTAGTCACTAAAACTTAGTGAAACCTTGTTGCAAAATAAAAAAACATAAAGGAGATGTAGCTCCATTTTAATGTGCTTCTGGGTTCAGTTCCCAGTACCAAGAAAAAAAAAAAAGCAAAGGAATGAAAGGACATACTTAATCCCACAATCATACCTTTATTATGCAATAATGCCTTAATAACGCTTAATACCTGTTTTTGCTTTGCCCTAATAATAGCAATGACATGATACACATACACCAATTTTGCTTCATATCTCTTCTGTTGTTACATGGCGCAGTGCAAACTTAGTCCTATTACAGCCATATTTCCTCCTCATATTGTTTTTTTTGTCGTTGTTGTTGTTTGTTTGTTTGTTTTGAGGAGGCAGGGGTTACTAGGGATTGAACTCAAGGGCACTGGACCTTTTTGTTTTGTTTTGTTTTTTTAAGGTACTGGAGATTGAACTCAGGGGGCCACTCAACCACTGAGCCACATCCCCAGCCCTATTTTCTATTTTATTTAGAAACAGGGTCTCAGTGAGTTGCTTATTGSTTCACAGTTGCTGAGCCTGGCTACAAGTCCAATTTTTATCATACCAATTTTTATAAAATACATATTAGTTTCAGAAAAATTAGATTTAATTAAGAGTTAAATCATCTTTTTTTCTTTTTTTTTTTTTAATTGTTAAATTTTTTTCCCCTACAATAGCCTCTAAATTTGTAGGTCCACCCCATACTGGTCCTAAAAGATCTTTTGGATTCTGTAATGCCTCCTCTAAACACAGCTGTCTGCCTGACCAGATTTTTTTTCAAAGCTCTGTTGTCCTCTGGTAGATGATTGATGAATTGCATTGTCCACTYTTGCACTTCTGGAGATTTAGTTTCATCTGAAGCCTGCAAGACCCTTTCACCATTCCTATATTTAAAACATTTTGTAAATCCAATTTGAGGGTCCCACTTAACGCTTGGAGAGCCTATCTACTGCTGAAGATTTTGTCCAGTTCATGATTTCAAACTGACCCCACCCCATCTCCTTGTGGACAAATTTGATCTCATTCTCTGGAGTCATTAACTTGAAATTGAATGCTGTACTAAATTCTGCTGCAACCAATGTCCAACCTTCAACAGTGCAACACTTATTAAAGGAAGTCTCATAATTCTTGTTGTTTTGTGTGAACATAGATAACGCCACTCCATCCTGGAGTTCCTAGTGCTTTTACAGCATTCAGATTGGATCCTGAAGAGAAGGTATTTTTTGCCCCACAGATAATGAGGCTTTTCCCTTCCATCCAGTTTTCCAACTCACTTGCAAAAATCTGAAAAGGCATTAATTTCAGTGGTATTGTTCAGAGTAACAATGCCAAGTCCATTTTCTTCCTTTTGCAGATCCAACATATCCACCAGGGAACCACTAAAGCATCACTTCTTCATGGAAGCCATGAGGTGTAATAAAGTGATACTGCCCCTCAATGTAGTAGTTTTGTCCTTACAGAGATGATGTCTTCAAAAGACTTACTATTTTTAAGTTGGAAGAAGGCTTTAAAGGTTTTCAGAAATCAAATAAGTGCTTTGAAGTTAGGCCTTTTTATACTTTAAAAAAATGTTAAATGTGGTATTTCTCCACCTTCCCTGAAAAGTTTTTCAGCACCCTCCTGCACCTCTGTATGAACCACTGCTTTCCCATTCCCAGGAGGGTACATTGGGCTTCAGCTGCAATCTAGCTAGGAAGTCTGGAGGCTCTCTGTGTGAGGTTCACTGGRAAAGGTGCTAACATCCATTCCACAACCACCTTCTGGGATTCTCTTCCTTATGACACTTTTAAAAGTTACGACCAGCTCTTAAATAGAGCCCTGGAAGTCTCTGGGGTGACTTCCCTTTCTGCTTTCCTCGATCATCTTAATTAAAAACGTCTCAGTTTCTCATGTAGTTTTTCCTTTTGGCTTCTAGAAAATATACTTCACCTTGTTTGTTCAAGTTTGTGTTATGTTTTTCAATTTTATCTATAGAGTAAATTTTGTCTTTTGAAATATGTCCTTCAGATATTTGTAAAATTWAGGCCATTTAATTGATTTAATAAAGTCAGTTTGGTGCTGATAGTGACAAGAATGCTTGTCTGTCATATGCAAGGCCCTCAGCACTGCAAAAAGAAATAGTGAAATCAATTTGTCCCTCTAGTTTTTCTCCCATCCCCAGTAGTGGGGATTGAATTCAGGGGTCTCTACAAGTAAACTACATCCTCAGCCCTTTTTCTTGTTTTGAGAAAGGGTCTCACTAAATCATCTATGCTACCCTCAACTTTATAATCCTCTTGTCTCAGTTTTCCAAGTTAATGGGATTACATTCATGTACCATTGTGCCTGATCACCCGATATATTCTTCCTCTTATTTTTTGTAATTGTTTTTTTTTTTTCACATCTACACTATTTTTATTTATATATTTATTTGATATAATTTGAAAATTTGTTCTGTAGTGGAGGAATAGTGTTTTTTTGTTTGTTTGTTTTTCTGTGGTGCTGGGGATTAAACCCAGGGCCTTGTACATGCAAGGCAAGCACTTTACCAACTGAGCTATATCCCCAGCCCATGGAGAAATAGTTTGTTTCTACAGTAGTTAAAAATATCTCTGTTAATGAGTTTTTGCTGCTCTTACATTTATTTTTATAGATCGGGATGAGGAAGAAATGAACAAACGGGATGACAAAAGGGAGATCAACAGATACTGCAAGGAAAGGCCTTCTAAAGATAAGGTATTTATTGAATATTGTATTCTTTATAATGTGATGATTTGTATATTTTACATAATTAAACTTGATTTTAAAATATAACACAGTAATGAAGTTTATTAGTCTTCATATGCCTACATACAACCACTTAGCAAAATGCAGTTGATGGGTTTTTTGTATGTGGGACTGTTGTATAACCATTTTGTTTGATTTTCTTTCTCATATTCACATAACAAATGAACTTATTTTATTAGGATGACATAATGATCTTTTAAGATTGTCGCTATTATACTGGCATAATTTCTTATTTTTCAATTGGAAAAAAAAGTATATACTATCTTTTATTTCTGTATTTTCTTTAGGAAAAAGAAAAAACTCAGATGATCACAATTAACAGGGATCTATTAATGGCCTTTGTTTATTTTGATCAAAGCCATTGTGGTTACCTTCTTGAAAAGGATTTGGAAGAGATACTGTATACTCTTGGATTACATCTTTCTCGGGCTCAGGTAATCTATTCTGTGAATTTAAAATAAAAACCGTTTTTATTACCATTTTTTTTTTCTCCCTGTGCTGGGGATAGAACCCAGGATTTGCTAATGCAAGTGCTTTAGCACTGAAACTGCCTCTCCTGTAACTTTTCAAGAAGTTACTTTTTTTTTTTTTTTTTTTTGGTACCAGGGATTGAACCCAGGGGTGCTTAACCAGTAAGTCACACCCCCAGCCCTTTTTATTTTTATATTGAGATAGGGTCTCACTAAGTTGTTTAAGGCTTCACTAAGTTGCTGAGGCTGGCACTGAATGGCCTCAGCCTCTTCAGTGAATGGGATTACAGGTGTGTATCACCACGTTTGGCTAAGAAGTTACTTTTCAAAGAAAATATAAATAGAATAAGTTAATGTATTCAATTCCATAGGTAGGTGCTTATTTTTTTACATCTCTATTGACTTTTTCATTCAAAAGAAAAACATAATAGATATAAATTGTAAGAGTCAAGCAGTACTGAAATTTATAAAGTAAAAAGGTTAAAAGCCCCTCTTTGCTCTTCTACTCCTCAGGTCCGGCACATAACCTTCTAGATTTTTTTGTAATCAACTAAGTTTCATTTTTCTAAACATAATATGAAATTATTTTATACATATTGATGGAACTCTTTTAAAATTTTCTAATATATCCTGGACATTTGTACCATGAAAATAGGGATCTCATTCTTTTTTTTTTTTTTTTTTTTTTTTTTTTTTTTTTTTT